TAAGATAGGATTAAGAAAGAAAAATATAAGTAGTTAGGTAGTGAATAGAGATAATGCTCCTTTTGTTGTTCGTTTGCACAACAGTCGAAACGTTTTGCAAATGTACATCAAGAGGATGATGTGATTGAATAAAAATAAAAATTTGCATAAATGGAGGGTGGATGGGATGAGGTAGGGCGGGTCTCCGCCCGCAGCAACCTCCCCGTGGTGAGACCTGGGCAATCGTTATTATTTGATGACTAATTAATAACTGTATCATTATTTCTATGGTATATTTATTAATTATGCAGCAAATAATACGAGCGAATTGGCTGCGAAATTTATGTTTTCTTTTCTATTTAATCTCTGTTATATATTTTTCAGGAACTATGCCTTTGAGATTCTGAAGTGTACCACATTGCAAATACAATTTTACGGAAAGAAAATTAGTAATAATGAATGTATGGTCAGTATTGTTTAATTATGTACTTTTATAATGCCGTAGAATATGACACTGTAGTACCAAAAACTATGTCGTGTTTGGTATCATTTTAATCAGGAGATTTTCACAAACAATTTGGTAATAATAGCCTCGACGCTTGCATTCCCTTAACATTTTTTCTTCTCAATCATTAAAGTTTCAGTGGTTGGAATTCCTAATAACAGATGGCACGATGTGGTCGTCGAGAGTGATACTCTAGCCACAATTGAAATATTAGTGTTTACAATTAATCACATACATAAAGTATGGATTAGACTAATCATCTTCTGAAGAATTTGGGTCTCAAGATCTGAAATGTTAGCATTATCCCAAACTCCAATTTTGTTCTTGCTTTGTTACGCCCTCTACGATTCAGGGTGATGATCTTAGAAACTACACCAGGTTAAAGAATCGATGGATCACGGGACTTGATGATTCAGGGTAAAGGGTAAAAGAAATCGACGAACGTGTCGGATGAGTGTCTTTATTCAAAGAAATAAACATTGTTGCAAATACTAAAAATATACCTTTTGAATACTTGTGTACACCCTCGATCACCAGAAAGTTGTTGCCGAGTTCGATCGAGGATGTACATCAAAGAGACTGTTAACAAATTAATCAAGATGGAACAGTCTTGCTTCACGTTTTCATCTATTCTTTATCTCTGTTTTTCTTCGACGAATGTCAGAACAGCGGAAGCGCGCGACGCTGGTTGAAAGATGAAAAATAGGGCTGAGGAGGTTGCAGCAACGTGCCACCCATTTTTTCTCGCCCTCTATTTCTCAGCCGACTTCTTCTTCCTTTTTCCCTTCTTTTTTCAACTCTTAACGCTTTCGCGACATAGTCACGCTCTACTAACGATGGACGGTCTCGTTTCACGTTGGACGACACTAAGTCCAGTTTGGTTTTTATCCCAGCTAATGTCAAATGCTTTAACCCTTTGCACTTAGAATTAATAAATAGCAATTTTTAAAGCTTTTTAACATGTTGTGTGTCGTGGTGGTCATCTAACATTTTGTATAATTCAAACAGTGAATAGCTTCAATATTATATTAATAATGAATTTGATAATTAACTAATTTTAGTTTTAGTATTTCTGATTATATATTGTAGTAATCAACCTGTTAAATTAATGTTGTTCCATGAATTTCCGTACACCAAAGTAAGGTAAAATTAATTTTATTGATTCTCTGATTACAAGTTCTTCTGCTATGAAACTGTTCATTTCCAGCAGAATCTCTTTACAAGAAACGAACGCAGCTCACTCAGCTGGTTCGGACGTTCTAACAAAAAGCTCTATTTAAGCTTTCGATCGGGTCGATTTTCTAAACGTTGTCCCGGATAAATTTAAGCGTTCCCAGATGCCGAAACGCGATCCTCTCAAAGTAATAATGGAGGAAGATCTCGGTAAACAAATGTTCTCGTTTGTGGTAAGAATTCATTTCTCGGCTGCTATGCTTCTCTTTCCAGGTGACCCGCGGCGCTGTGTCAAAGGCAGCGGAGAAAAGGGAAGAAAAGATCACGGAAAGCGTGAGAAGAAACGTGCTTTCCGGGTGCATATGAAACGCGCCGGCACGAAGCCACGAAAAAAAATAAGAACCGTTTCTCACTATTTTATTCGGACGAAGTGCAAGCCAGATGTTGTCACGCCTTCTTTTATTAAACCTTAAGCTCTGCATTTCTCCTTCTATTCTTTATTCCTTATTCTATTCACACTCTACTTTCATTCCAGAATAAATTAATCTACGTTTAATCTTCTAATTTTAAATAAATAAAAATGGTTAAACAATTCATAAATCATATGTAGATAATAAAATCAATGATCCTGAATTTTTTCGAATCACGGGGGTCAATTAGATTTCACCGGAAGGTAAAAGGTCAGCGATCGATCGTGTCCGCCGGAAGTTTCCAGTCCCGACCCAGCGGAGGGAACGTTTCGAAGGAAACGGCGTGCTTTGAGCGCGAAAAAAAGGGAGTAAAACTCGGCTGGACAGAGTCGAAGGGAAGAAAATAGAAAAGTGTCTATATGAAGCGGTCTCTCGGGAGGATCGTCGAAAAGAGTGCACACGTGGCGACACGGACGAAAAGGGACGAAAGGGTGGAATTGAATTCGTCGCCGGTGAAAGAGGGTGGGTGGCACCGCGCCATTATTAATTTACGAGGATCAAAGGCGGTGTCACGCGACGCTAATTAGTCCGGTGCAACGTGTGGATCGTGTGCACATTTCGAATGGTTGAATGTATTTCTAGGAAGATCCCGGTGAAAATCTAATTACTAGTCGGACCTACCTACCAAACAGCTTTTAATGATTTCCGGGAAATAGCCTTTAGATTTTAGGATCGATCGATACTGATCGATGAGAAAATTATTTGAATTATAAATTATTTGAACCCGAAAAAGCCTACTGGGGATGTCGGGAACCTGGAAATCCGAAAATTTGGGAAAGCCTAATTTGATCGCGAGTATTTGTAAGACTTGAAATTTCAAAAATTTTTTTTTATTATTTCCACTCGTCCAAATGAAAGCATTGTTATTTTAAATTCTCTACCCCAAGCTTTGTAGCAGAAACTCAAAGGCCTTGTATCTCGTACAGCTTGATATATTACGGCAGTTTGTTGGAAGTGTTCGCACAGACGCCCCTCAGTCACGAACCAGAGCCATTTTTTAAAGGATTTTGAAACTTTAACCGGCATTATGGACGTATGTTTATGAATTTTTCTGCTGGTCACGTTTAAAAACTCTTTCTATTTAATTTAATATGTTCCCTGTAGTTTAGAGTATTTTTCTTTAGAATGTTTCAAATGGAAAGTGGAAAGTTTTTCCAGCAAAATTCGATCGTGACTTCAGATAGCAAAGAGAACAAGCGGGAGTAATAATAGACCGATCAGTCTGACAGAGAACGAAACAATCGAGAATTTGTTGTCTCTCTGTTTTCTTGTTTTTCAAGCTGTTACGTTCGGAACGGGCGTACCGGAAATTACAACGTGACGCCCTTCGATTTCTTCCATCTCCGGTCGAGATGTGACGGTGTGAGTTCACCCCTCACTGGCCGGGATAAACCACACTGCACAATCTAAGAAAATGAGAACGAGACGAGCGTCATGTTTTCTACGTGAGATTCGTGTCTCGAGTTCTCTTTTCGTTCTCATTTCATCCCCTTCGCACGTGATTTTCTTCGGGTTATCATGTACAATTTTTCTGGGAGTCACGTTGGTTCGAAGTACCTTTCACTTTCGATTGTTTGTTTGTAAACTGCGTAGAAAAATAAATAAATTGAATTTACAGTGAATGATTAAATTATTATAAATAGCATTGGTATAATTAGATCTGGGACAGAGTAGGTGAAATGTACATTGGATTTTCATTTGTCAATAATATTAGAAAACTCAACTCATTCCATCGTATATGTTATTATAGTTATTTTGAAAATTTTCCAAGAGAACTATAGCCTTAGGATACCAGCAGTCATTTATCATCAACTGCTCGATAATATTCAGCCAGCGTTGACCAGTCCTGAACGAAGTTGAAGTTCACGAATACTCACCCCCTTCTAATAAATCAATATCGACAGGGATGTTATACTTTTTTTTCTGCCTTCAAGATATCTTTTCTGTGAAAGTAGAAGATATCGTTTTTCATCTTTACAACGATCTTTCCTTGTTTTTCTTCCATCGTTAATGATTTTATTTCATTTGTATTTGACAAATGATATTTTTCAAAATTATTTCTCTGATGGTCTACTGACCATAATGATACTTCATTAAAAAATTTCCAGTTCGTACAGTAATTTTTCAAGAATGGTTTTCATTAAACGAACGTTCCTTGCCATAAGAGAAAACGTTCGCCGATGACTTGTATTAATTTTCATAATTGTAATATCCGAGGAAAAGTGCACTGGCAGCGACAACCGATAATAAATTACCGTCGAACGAGGGTAAGATTATAAAGATAGACACTCGGTTTTTGCAGATCCTTCCGGTGAATAATTAATTCCTAGGATGGGATGGCTCGTCCGATGGGTCCAAAGACATCCAACGGGAACTCGTCCCCGTTGATGCAAAAGGGAACCTCACTAATTCCAGTTGGCCCAACTTTCACCTCGTTCTGCATATAATTTGCGACTTCATTACTTTCTCGTCTAACTTTCCAGAATTTGCATTGTACCGCCTGTTAAGTTAAATGAATAGAAATATTTTAACGGGCAGACCTGTCCTTTCTGAATCCATCTGCAGGTGCAGTATTTTTTTTCACTTTTTACAAATTTCATTAGCATACTAAGAGAGAAAGGGTAATAATTTGTAATTAATTGTTATTGAAAATTCTTTCTACATAGAAAATCTGAAAATACTTTCAGATTCTACACCTAAGATAAAGTTTATCTTAAAATAATATTTTATTTGGAATAATTTATTTTCACTTGGATTTTCTCATGCAGCTGCATGGTGATCGATACCACTCTCAGTACCAGAGAATTCAGAGTGCTGTCGCGACACAGCTTCGTCAACAGTTCTTGCCAGCACCGAGGCAGTAAAAATATTTTTTTTTTTCCTTCACTCAACTCGATAGCTTACGGAACGAGGACCGTTTCATTATGTCCCATTGTGTCGGTGCTTTCAGGTTCCGGCGCCGTTTCATTTCGGCGCGCGACGTGGCGACCCTTTGCCCTGAAATTTCGCTCTAATTGCAGACAAATTAATGTCACCGGACGAGCGCGCTCCACACCGTTGATTGGTACGTTCGCCTCGTATCCGGAACCAGGAATGCGAAAATCTACGTTCGGCTGCACCAAAATTGTGTTTGGTTAGGTATTTACGAATTCTCCAAAAAATGCCATTCAATCTTTTCAAAATCCTTAATGGAATTTCGTCTATCAAAAAATTAGAAATTGAAAATTAATAAATCAAGTGGTGGTAAAAATCAGCCCATATGCAAACGAAGCAGTGGAACGTGGTTTCATCTATCTTCATTGTTGTTCCAGCGTGCAAGCGTCCAGTGACGTTTAAATTTTGAGAGTGGAAACACGTGACGGGATACGGGACGAATACCAAGTGGCCAGCAAGATAAATTGATTCGATTCGAAATGGGAAGAGAGGCGAACGGGGACCAATTTCGTGCCCAAGATTCTCAACCCCGACGGAGTTTCCCAAGATTTTTCATTTCCCTAGAAAACGGTGCGTACATTTCTTGACTCTAAATAACCATACGTTTCTCTTGTTACTTTCTTTTCTTTTTTTCCAGCGAATAAGTATCCCACGGAGAGTTTCGATATCGTTTCGTATTAAATTCTACCAGCGAAATCTCGCTAGAATCTTGAATCCAGCTGATGGTCGTCGGTGGTTTAAGGGTCAGCGTGACGTCACAGAATGGACCGGAGCAAGACGATGGACGGTGTACGATGAATAAATTACGAGGACAGTGACACGAAACCGGCGAGATGAGTAGCCGAGATAGTGGACTGGTCTATTTTTGTACGACCATCTCTACGCTGATCCAGTTTTTCTATTCCTTGGATCCATTGCACCGCTTATGATTAATTAGCTAATAGAAGGTAACGTTTATTCAGCTCGCGTAGACCGCAAACGCGTGCGCAAATTCGGTCAGCATCTGGATCGCGTGGCAGTTGATAAATTTCGGAATTGGTCGACGATAAACATACACGTCACCCCGAAGTCCCGTATATTCTATAATACGTGTTCTCCGTTGCGTTGCATTAGTTCATTTCAATCGCGACGAAATCAAATTACGAGCAACGAATTGCGATTGAAACTGTGCGCTACGTCCGGCAAACACCCCGGCGAGTTAATCACGTACACACGATAAATTTACAGTCAATGGAAAGCATCGGGCGCAAATTTCACATTTCACCTTTAACCTTCGGAAGTTGGTCAATGGATCCATTCGAATAGCCTAAAATTACGTATTTAAATTGAAAATTTTATACATATTTCTAAATGATACAAATTTCGAAGGAGTCTCTAGGGTAAATAAGGACTGATAGGACAGCGAGGAGAAGAGAAATGAATAGAAAATTTATTTTCTCTGATTCGTAGAAAATAACAAGTTTCCTCAGCGATGTCCAAGAAGAACGCGAGAGTCACCGGCCAGATTTCAGCCGGTGTTTATCCCATAATTCGTGTCTCGAGCCTTCATCCTTCTCCCGGCAACAGCGGTCGTTTCCTCTTGCACTAAATCACAGACGACGTAGCCAGCAGCGAGCAAGTGACCCAGAAATTAAAGTATTCCATCCGGTGCACCGTCTTCGCGATCGCTTTATTTCGCTTATTAAAAACGAAAGCTCAGCGAGATTGCCTGCGAGAGATTCTGTTTCTCGTTTCACGTCAACCGAACGTGTTTCCGTCTCCAGGCTCGTTCAGTGGAACTTTACCGGACATTACGAGCCGGATATTCCTTCCGGTCGGTCTCGGCCAAGCTCACCCAGGCTACGCGTTAAATCATTGTTAACGCGCTTGTCACCACTGACCTCGAAAGTTATGGCGCTCGATGCACAGATGGGAGTGCTGCTTTGTTGCAATATACAGCGAGTTGCAAAATTGTTTAGAATATATAGGGGGTTACAAAATTAGTTTCACAGAGGGTGAATTGGTCATTGGGGGGTTAGGAAAATTTCCGGTGGTCTGGTAGGGATTTGAGGGGTGCAATTAATTAAAATTCCCTATGTCAGTAATCTTCTATCGGTAATTTCGTAAAATAAATTTTAATTAGCCTAGGCTGTGTTTGCATCTTTGTACTCAGGGTTAAGGGTTGAGGATTAAGTCCAAGTTTGCCTCTGGTTAGGTGGTATATTTCTATCGGGAAGGTATCATGCCTGTCCAGTTGCTAATTGAGAGGGTACGATTACTTATGCGACCTCTTGTACGTGATCTCCTGTATGCCCGTAGCGGTATCAACGTGTGCAGCAAGCTAACGTATCCTGGGCGAACGAAGCGGCACCAGAAATCGATCCTGTCTAAGATACTTCGAGACAGATACGTTCCTAGGCTGATTCAACGTACTTTGAGAAAGTTTTCCTCTTGGGCAGACGATGTCGGGAACGGGAAGGAAAAGTGTCGTTGCCGTTGAGAGAACGTTACGAGACTCTTATCTGGACGAACGTTTCCAGTTGGCACGATAGCTCTTCGCCCAACTTTCTTCCCGTACCCAAGGCCCAGAGACGCATAATAATTTACCGGTTATTCATATTCATAAACGGGCCATGCATATTCACAATAAATTTCCCTGCGGTACCGGTCGGGCGGAAAGTGTAAATTATTTCCTTGGCAAATTGAAAAGCTGCTGCTTGGCAGCGCTGCGTACAGATAGAGAGAATCACTATTCGTCGTCGCGACGCGGAAACCGTCGATTTTCGAGCGTTCAGATACTTGACCTGATGATGGTGCATTTGTCGCGTCGTTGAAGGTACTCCTTTTCGAGAGTACTCTCTTGCTCGTGAGACGGTTTCAGGCGGTTTCTCTATAGACTTGCGTTTTCAAATACATCAAGTTATTTGTAGGTAGATATACAGTAGGCGCTTGATAATTCCCCATTAGAAAGGAAGTTCGTCCACAGGAAATAGCTAAACAATTCAAGAATCAAACCATCCTCCATAAACCCAAGAAGTTGATCTTCCATTGTGCTTTTTCACTCCCATTTCCAATTTCCTTTTTTCCCCCCATCACCTTTCCTCTCCTCTCTCAACACAGTCAACGATCAAAAGTATCTCGTCTCCAATTCAACCGAACTTTTCTTTAGATATACAGGTGAGATCGTTGGTCTCCGAGATCCAATAAATCCCTGGTTCTTCCACCCTCGGGTGAACCCCTTTGTCTCCCTTTCGCTCCCACCTTATTTGCACCTCTTTCTCCCTCCATCGAATACGATTATACTCGTTCCGGCGTCTTCTTTCCTGTTCTTTTCATCCACCTTTTTATTCCCGCTGTTAAAGTTCGTCTACACGAACACGGTGACACTAGGATTTTTCTTTCGTATTGAAAGAGAAATACAACCCTCGAAAGTAGCGGAAAATCTATCGATAGAAAACAGACAAAAGTAAGAGTGAATTGTAGCGGAAAGGACTGGAATTCTAATGGAAGGAAAACAGAAAAAAATAAAATGACACACCGTGTGGAGATAAATAGAAGAGGGTGAAAAATAAAAATAAATTATAAAATAAAAAGTGGATGAAAACAGACAGATTGGCTTGGGTAGAAACAAAATGGAAAGGGATGAAAAAAGGGTAAAGGGTGAAAGAAAGCAGAGAAAGACGTACGAAGTAAAGGGTGAATAAAAAGAGACGGATACACGGGGGTTGAAAACGAGACGGAGAGGGATGGAAAGCGTTTCGCGTCGAGAGCGAGCGGGTCGATGGTGGGGGAAGGGGAGAATCAGCGCACAGCTACACCCCATCGTGACGGTCGCGCCAGTCAGTCGTCCGCGCACCTTCGTTCGGTGAAGATCGTCGTTTTCGTTTGTGAATTTTCGTTTGCCTTGCGAGTGGCAGATCATCGACCGTCATTCTTTGATCAACTGACCTCTGGTTAGTGGTGACGTCAACGTTGTGCCATCAACCCCATCGCCAACCACCCTGTCAACCCACTGTCAACCCTTAACAATCTGTCTCTACAAACTGGTGAGACAAACAATTTCTTTATATTTCTGCGACAATTTTTAAATCATTCCGCGTACGTTATTATTATTATTACTACATACATTGTAGTTAATTTAGTTAGTTTGATATCTTTAGTTGTTTCTTCAACGTTGCGTTTAGTGTTCGAATAAGAAAAGCCACGGGGTTAAAAGGTAGGGCAACGGGGGTGAAAGTTGGTGGCAACATGTTTGTCTTACGGGGAGCACAAGCTCCAGCAACGAGTCTGTTTTCTTTTCTTTCCCTCGTTTTTTATCAGCGTGCGAGAGAAGCAATCGATACCCGATTCTCGAGATGTAACCAAGGACGCGCCACGGCTTATCCGCAGCGACACGTTAGAAATGAATGGATTGCGTACCGTGGATTCTTCTTTTCCATTGTTTCATGCCTTTTATTGCATTCAGTGCATAGCTCCTCTTTCTATAACCCCTTTGTTGTGACGTCCATTGTGTAATAAATAAACAATTTTTCTTTATTATTTATTTCAATGCTTTCAAAGAAAATCTTTACTTATCTTCGTCGTTAATTATTATTTTTTAATGATGGACGTGTACAAAGGGGTAAAGTAGCTTTAATATTCGATAGCTATTTTGAACAGCAGAATGATTTGGAGCTTTAGGAAATTAATTATTATTTTCTTAGCATATATTTACTTCGCCAGTAGCTAAGCATTCTCTCGTTGAACGAACACATTGATAGGGAATTACAAGGAGAATCTGTTTACCTCGAACGAGGCGTAGCACGGTAACCATTGTTTTTCAGAGAGACGGTTGATTACATTTAAGGATGTTTAAAATATTAAAAAATCGATGATTTTTTAAGATTTCGTCGGACAATTTATCTTGCTCGGGTAGGCTAAAGGCAAGGCTAACTTAGCACTTCCCTTCAGCACGCACAATCAATACTTGTTTTTCTTGATGGAATCTACATTCTCATACGCAGTTTATATCCCACCATAATTTATTAAAATGTGTCAGCGACACATGGGGTAAGGGGTACAGCTGTTGATCCCTATACAATGATTGACTCCTTTGAAAAAACGGGGGAAAATATAATAGTGTTTCTTAAATAATAAAATACAATTATATATATATATATATTTTTTTTTAGAAGAGACCTACTTAATAAAATATCAAATTTCAATAAAAGACTATATCTGATGTTGTAGATATTAATACAAGTACTCTTAGACGTTCTGGTTGTTACTCGTATTTCTTGGTATTCTCGTGGAATAAAATGTGCCTCGCTAGGTATACAGTTACCGTTTAGAATCATCCGAAACGTCTCTCTACACTGTTTGCAATTTCTGTTATGCCATGAACCAGGGTATAATTCCCCTATCGTGCTACAATACCGCGGTCTTTATTGCCCCTGCAGAACCATACCCGTCTCTTTCCCAGCGATGAAACCACGCTCTTGGCGAAACACGTCCGGAAACATTTGGAATTGATGCGTGAAATTTTAGCCGGTAGCAAGCCATAAAAGTCGTTGTAATTTCGACGATTCCAAGACCACGTGCAATCGTATCTATCGAACAATTCTTACTGGGTCGAACTCCGTTTCTCTTCTAATTATGAAAATACAGTGGTCTGAAGCACTGTTCAAAAAGGGGTTGATATCCCCATTTTCCAGGTGGCCCTGTTCTAAGCCATTATTACCCTTTTGGAATAATTAGAATAAAAATAATTTTTAAAAATAATTATTAAAATATCTTGAACCAGGGGGGCCCCCGGGATTTTCCGTCACCTTCGAATTAGTCGAAAATGAGTTTCTCCTTAGTTTGCTTACTTGTTATCCGACAGGATTTGCGTAGAACGGAAATAGGAAGTGCACAATAATCGCTCGCGGGCTTATTATTAATTATATACACGCTTTCTAAACATAAATTCGTCCATGGTGCCGTTTCAACTTGTACAAATTTGTGGTCGCATTAGTTCCAGGTCGTGTATGCTAGTTTCTATCTGGTTGTATAGCGAGAATAGCGGCGTCATTTTAACCGGCGATGTTCATTCACTCGAAACTAGCGGTTTTCCGTGTAAATTTTCACGTTGCCAATAATCGTTTCACTATGAGCATATTTGCCGTTCACCCTGAATGGCATTGTAATCAACGTTACACTAATCGTTAGGTTAAAAGTATATTTGCTTGGGGCCAGTGAACTTTGTTCTCTTCTCTTCTCTTCTCTTCTCTTCTCTGTTGATTCCTGCCTTCAGACATGAAATATTTCAAGTATTTCTACTTGATGCCGTCAGTCAAATTATAGAGTAACGTACACAGTTGTTGGCTCCCGTACAATGATTGACCCAATATCTAATGGGTTTCTTAACCTTCAGACGGCAGACCATGGAGAAAATCACAATTTTAATTTAATTAAGCATTAATTACGAGATTCACGAGTGAGAAGAACAGAGCATTTAATAAAATGTGGCTTTTACAAAAAAAATTTATTTTTCTCGAATGAAGTAATTATTATTTCGATTGAACAAGCAGGTGGTTCTCACAGCAACGCGAATAATCCTAGTTAAATAGGTAGGGTTCTTTTTGCGGTCAGTCTTGTAACTAGCTGGTAAAAAGAGTTTCCACGTTTTACATAACTTGGGACTCAAACGTGTACGAAGGGTCTAATGAACGATCCGTACGAGGGTCGAATCGAAAAGTAGAGTTGCTTGTCGCCCAGTGGAAATTGTTCCCGAGTTACACCGCGTCTCTCTTGCCTCTGCCGTCCACAGGATCTATGTACCTTGAACTTTTCGAAGTTTGTGCCCGACAAAGGAAGCGTGACATGCTGAACAAGAAGTGGCGATCAATCAGAATTAAGGCTCCTCTTCGGTTGTTTGAATGAGATCAGAGAGGTGTAAGTGAACGTGTGATGAAATGCCGATAGATTTCATGAAAGTTACGTGTAATAACGATGCAGATGAAAAGCTCTTGAAAAAAATATTAACATACACCTCGATAGTAATTATTTTATTAGAGAAAAATAAAATTTTTATAAAAGCTACATTTTATTTCATTTTCGATGCATTGGGCGTGTAATTAATTTTTCGAACGACGTATTCTCTCGATTTTCTCTTTTAGGGTGTTTCCCTTTGCTTTTCCGTCAGTAAACGACGCTAATCGATACGCAATTCATTTTTATTATGGAAAATTGAATTTTTTAAAATACCCCCATTACACGGGAAACCGATGGGCCACACTCTTCACCCTCCCGGTCGTCGCGTTTATTTTTAACGCGGTACAACCCTTCGTTCATTTTCATAAAACAATTCCTCCTCATGGTCGTACGTCTCATAGATATAAATCAAATAAATGTTGGTTAAGCCGTTGGTTGTCGTGACGCGAATACTAATACGCTAAATGGTAGGGTATTAAAATTCAGCAAACAACCACCCCCTTAGGCGAAGGGTTGCCTTTTAATATGTTTTTTTCTCCATGAGTCACAATTTCTTTTTTTATCTGATTATTTGTTCCGAGCGAACGAACGATAAAGATATTCATAACCCCAGCGGAATGGAATCTTAAAATATCTGTCTGGACGGCGACGTCTCGGATAAACACGAAGGATGTCCGAAATATTTCTTCGGGGTGGATTTCGTTGCTGGCCGAATTCTGAATACGAACAGTGAATAATCGTAGCGTTGTTCCTCGTGCTTCGAGCAAGAATAGATAATTTTAACTGGAAGGAAACTCGTCCAGAAAGCTTTCCACTCTGATTTCCTGAGAGCTTAATTCGCTTTTCCCGGTTTGAAAATTAAACAAATTCGAACAGAATACACGAACGTTTCAACATTCATAGTGTATAAGTGGATAAAATTAATTACAGGAACGTAATTTGATTCTTACCTTCAGAGTATACCCTTTGCAATTATCTCGATACAAAATTTAACGTTAAAAAATTTCAGACAATTTTACAGTTGATAGTGAAATACAAAGGGTTATTATCCGATCCTCTTATGCACTGTTTTCATACTTATTTTAATATCCTGAAACAACAAGTGAATTTCGAGACAACTCTGGCAGTAGGAAAAAGAGCATCAAGCGATTACACGTGACGGAAAGAAAACAATTCCAGCTGTATTTTCCATTCCGGGACGATACACAGAGCGTTATTAAGTAGACGAGAGAGGGAAAAACGAAGTTGTTTGTTCCCGGCTTAAAATAATTTCACGAGGCGAAGGTAAAAAGCCGGCGCAAGGAACGAAGTTTCCAATGAGATTCGAGCACTCGCGAGCCGAAAGCACGCGACTGTTGCAAAAAGAGCGCTGGAATAAGGAACGAATGCAAAGTACCTCCTAGACGAGAGTCGTATCCAAAGATTTACCGTGCAGAAGCTCTCGGTTGTGCTTGTCCGTTTGTCTGTTTGTCAGACGGGACCTCTCTCGACGACCCCCACTCTTAAACCGTGCAACCCTTACAGCCGTACATTTATGTTATGCAAATGCGATCTTCTAGCCGGGAAAAGAATATAAGAGGAGAAAGAGTGACACTAGGGTGCAGGTCGCGCGAGGAGGAAATAAAATTCATGATAGTTTGACTCAGGTATGGAGAACTGGCCACCAGAGAGCGGCAAGTTATCCAGAGTCTGCTATAAAATTTCTTCGTAGAACAAACACGCTACCTTCCATTTTCTTTTTTTTTTTTCATTTATTCATTCGAGCTAACTTGTTTTTGGGTAGTTTTAATGGAATCGGATAGCCGGGTAAATTCGATATATTTTTTGTCCCTCTCTTTTATTTTACTTTTTCCGCGAATCGGAGATAACCATTTTATCTGGAAATTTATTTCTCGCGGTGTTAATAATGCATGAAGCGACGGATGGAAAATTGATATTGATTTGGAGGCACGAGGGAGATTTAATATTTCGATGGTTCGGATATCTACTATTCGTGACAGTGATACATGGGATTTTACCTTGTCATTTTTTAACATGTTTGTATTGATTGAATGATGTGTTAATTGCAATTTTATAATTGCCAATTTCATGA